AGCTGCTCTAAGTCATAGCAGCTTCTGCAGTAATAGAAGGCAGCTACAGAAAAGAGATTACACTAATACAGAATATTTCTAGATCCCAGTGCATCCACATCTTAAGCAACACATACAGGTTTGGTCAACTCACGTCATGAAGACATGGGAACACCAGGACAAATTCACCACAGGGTGAGAAAGGATTACCCAAGTTACAGAACAGTCTCCGTACAGGACTAACTAGACTATGGCTCTTAACTCACCAGATACAGTCACTAGTTTTCAAGTTAAGATGACTGTGGTAGAGGTTTACAAAAAAATCAAGAAAAATGTGGAAAAGCAAACAGTAAATTGTGATTTATTATTTCTCATAACAAGCGGGCATCCAATGAAATTATCAGGCAGCAGATTTAAAACAAACAAAAGGATGTACTCTTTCACAAAGCACATAATTAAGTTGTGGAATTCATTGACACAGGATGCTATGGAAGCCAAAAGCATAAATGAGTTCAAAAAAGGTTTAGACAAATTCACAGAGGATATGTGCACAGACAGCTATCAGAAACAATGATCCAGATATAGTCTTGGGCTCTGGAAGTCCCTAAGCTATTCACTTTCAGAAACCGAAAGGATACACAAGGGGAAGATTTACACTACTCTCTTCTTGTTTCTTTAGCTCCTTCCTTAAGCATCTGCTAAAGGTCCCTCATAAAGACAAGATATGGAGAAAAACCTGTCCTTCTAGGTCTGTCTTGAGATTTTACTTTGTATTGAGCTATGACTAGACAGTCTTTTTTATTGACTTGCTGTGTGTAAAATAACATACAAAACTGATGATTTTCATTTTGAGTCACTGACTCATAAGCTTCTATAAACCCCTCCTGTTTTTTAACTCGCCCAATCTTACACACTATTTTAAAGCCAAGAAAACAAAAGCAGGCAAGAGTAGCAAAGGAAAAAAGAGACTTGTTAGAGAGTGGCAAATGGTGTTCCAAGAAGAAATTATTTGAAGCTGAAGTCAGTGGGGAAAAAGCCTTGACAAAGCCTTAAAATAGTTCCCCAAACTGTGGCAAATGTTTTACAGAGAAATAAAGATATCATCACTGCCCTGAAAAACTTACCTTCTAAATCTCGGACCAGAATTAACAAGTGAGAGTAAAGGGTGCTAAAGCTCAAAGTTCTGTATTATCTTGTGGCTTCATTAGTAATTTAAGAGTGCAAACAACGCTTCATTTCCAGTTATTGTATACTGTACTTGCAAGATGATCTGGGCAAAGACATGTGCTACTATGACCCAACAGGAGATAACAAAGAGGAGAAGTCTGCATGTACCAACAAAGGACCTAAGAGAGAGAGAGCATTTTAGTGGGAAGCAAATGATTGCATCACACGTGGGAATAAAGATGCCCAAAAAAAGGGGGTTCTAGTTGAGAAGGGTCACATACGTCATAACGAAGAAAATTTTCAGGTTGGTCTGGGGCAAAACTGTCAACAAGCAAGTGTGGGAGCTGCCAGAGGGGACACAGTACTGGCACAAGGTTGTGAATGTATTGCCAGGCTGTTGAAATCGAACGTCTTAGACATTTGTTGCGCTATTGCCCGATGAATACAAGTAATGACACGCCTAACTATTTTGAAATGCTGATGCCACAGCCAGGTTCCTAAAAATAGAAAATAAACCAAACACAGATGTATATGAACTCCCTTCTTCCAACTGCAACTTTTTCCAAAAGAACGTGATGACGATCAATAATTTTGCAAATAACTTCCACAGAGTAAGCAGCAGTATCTTTGACATTAATGTGTTCTGCTACGTACATACAGGGCAAAAACAAAGTATGCAGGGTGAAAGGAGACAGACTGAAAAAACTGGGAGAGCTTTCAGCAACTAAATCTTTTTGCCAAAACAAGCAGTTTAGGAACAGATTGAAAGAGGGAATAAGAAGGACACTACTTGCTCCTAACTCCAGTCAGTTAGATCGGAGGATGTGAGGACTTAAGGAGAAGACAGAATTTATTTGACACAAAGCCTAGTGGCAAGTTGATTCCTGAGCAAGGCCAGAATTGTAGAGAAGGACTACAGATCTAACTGGGTAAATGATCATTTTTTAGAAGCGGGAAGAAAGTTTTCAACAAGTAAAAAATGCCAATACGTTATTATAAAGCTACATTTTGGAGGTCAGAAAGCAGAGGCTAGAGGAAGAATTACAAAATGTCAACCGTCCAAAACAAATTACAGAGAAAGTAAAGACACTTTGAGACAAAACATATGCAAAAGAAGTTAGAACTACTACAGTGACCTTGAGATGAGGATCAAATATAATTACAGTACTGCTCCGAAACAAAATCAGTATTTTGCCTTTTCAATAAAAATAATGTGGAGAACATGGTCAAAAGGCAGAATAAATGTATGGAAGCACAAATAACAGCGTATGAGATACAGAATTAACACTTTAAAATTATGAAATTGCCTAGGACACAGAAGAGGGATGAGGGGAAAAACCCCAAGTTGACAGATCAACAGAAAAATACTAAAGAACTCGTGCACGAGGCTGCCAGTCTCACAGCAATGCTTGTAATACATCAAAGGAGAGTATCACATGACTGAAACCTGTCAGAGCAAACAAACTCACTGTAATGAAAAATAGGAAGGACATACAGCCCTGACATCTACAGATCCAGGACAGTCTCAACAGCAAAACAGCCAAATAACAAACTTTGAAGGTAATATTATAAGGCCTAGTCTGTACAAGGAAAATGAAACAAAATACAATGTGGATTTACATAAGATAGTTGACACTAAATTAACCCAGTAACTTCCCTCCTTCCTTTGTTTTAGCTAGGCAAGAGAAACACCAATCTCATCTCTCTGGACTTCTACAACACAGTGCAACACATGAAGTTATTGTCAGTCTGGTGAAAACAGCATAGCACAGGAAATGTAGGTGAGCAAGCAAAAAAAGCAAAGTTGCATTGAAAGGGGAAATATTTGTCCAGAGGGAATTAATTAGCAAAGATGCTCAAAGATCATTTTGCTTAAATGTTTATAATTGTGACATTGGCATTAACTGCCATCATCACAAGAGACAGGGTCAGAGTGTCACTCAAGACATGGATGGCCTTATAGATGGGTGTAAAAAAAAAGTCAAAACAACAAATGAAGAACAACAAAACAGCATAAAAGACCAAGGAAGCTCCAGAAAAGATGAGTGGACTTAGTTCCAGGGAGAACGGGAATTATTATTGTTATCAAACAAGGCACAAGCGAAAGTCCATCTGGAATAAAGTATACAGTTCTGGTTAAATTAATTCAAGAAAGATGAATCAAAGCTGGAATGGATGCATACAGGAATTATTACAATGAACACAGAAAGAAAGCCTATCTCCTGAGAGGAGATTAAACAACTGGCTTGGGGAAAACAGTGAAAAACAAAAGCCAAAAGGGAATATGACTTTAAATACATCCAAGCTATGTAAAATAATGGATGATACTGGCACAAGAACAGAGACATATAAACAGACCATAAAAAGTTTAAAACTGGAAATCAGATGTTTTCAAGCCATCTGAGGAATGATGTGCTGGAGAAGTCCTCCAATATGAGGCGGGAGGAGAAACTAGCTTTAAAACGGACTTTGACAAACTTATGACGTCTGTTGGAACTGCCTCAAAGGTTCAAGAGGGTTTTTTTTCCCTGGGATAATTTCTAAACAATGCCAGAAATCGTTAGGAAAAAACTGAAAACCATTTCCTGCATTCACATTTCCCAGCAAGTGCCTCTTTCAAGTTTACATTTTCTTTTAGACTATATGGAGCAATTAAGTATCCAATACACAATTTAGAAGTACTGAGTACCCAGCATTTCCAATCACTGTAATATAAGCATTTGTGAAAATTAAGCCGCAAAGGAATTGAAATGAGCTCAACAGAAATTGAAAAAAGGCTTGGCTTTCAAAGATGTTAACAGTTTACTGTTTGCAAAATGCAGACAAATTTTTTAAAATCAGTCTACTTGGATATAAGTATGTACCTTCAGACAACCCTGACGTTAACACCAAAAAAGCCCCAAAGCTTCCCTAATATTTTTGATTCTGATTTTGTTATCAGCCTCGTCAGTTATCCTCTGCCTGTTTATTAACATGTGCTTTTTACACAGCCTTAGGATCTCTGGCACAACTTTCCCAAGAAGTGTCTGCTTCCCCACAGTGTTTACACTGTTTTAACTCAAGATACCTAGCTGCTCTGGTATCTGGCTTTAATTAGAATTATCTTAATACATTATGGGTTGTCCTGTAAAACAAATTAGTATAATGATTCATCTTTACTGTTATGTTTTTGAGCTTAAAAGACTCATTTTCATCTTTTAATATATTTTCAGATTTAAGACATCTAATAGAAATTACAGCCAGATCCTGCAATCAGATTAATCTATACAAAACTTCCAGTTGTACAAAGTCCCTGTTGGCTTTAACGGGTCTCTCAGCATGTATAAGACCTAATTTGATGGCTAAAATTGCAAGCATCAGGTCTAAAACTTTTTTGAAGGAACAGTTTTGTCAAAGAAAGATTCTTTGTAAACTAGACAAAAGATTTTGTTACCCTATGTATTCTGTAACTCTGCACAACTTCCCAACTCCTTGTCTTCCCCTATCTCTTCCAAAATGGGACTGATAATTATTTATTCCCTTATTTGTATGGAATTTTTCCTAGAACAGCAACAGAGTTGGATTTCCAATTTATAGCTCATTAGTTTTCAGCTAACCTTATCACATAACATGAAAATGCTGGTTGGCTAACAACCTAAATAGTTTCTGGAGCGTCTATAGAAAGAATTTTCCTGGCACCTGCGCTGAGACGACAC